AGTGTGGTTTTTTTTTTTCTTGCATATGGCGTAGGTTTATTGGTGAAAAACAAAATTAAATAAACATAAAATAAAACTAAATAAACATTAAATTATCAAAGTAACGAGGACTAGAGTAGGTAGATTTACAATAAACTAATAAATAATTTTAACAATAACAAAGATAATAATAATAAGAGCTCATAATATATTTAAAGGCGAACATTGGTCTTAGACAGCCAATCCATTGCTTCGTCATCGCCAAAGTGTGGTTAAAGATAGTCTTGAGACTGAACAGCAGGATGTTCCAAAGTTATGGAATAGTGAGAGGGTTAAAAAACTCCTAATCGTTTAAATTTATAAATGTTGTATTCTATATTATATTAATATTATATTGTTTTATTTACGAGTATTTATTTATGTATTAGGAAAATTAAAGTTCTATAGTATTTTGTTGACACCTGTTTTTTTTTTTTATTAGAATTCTTATGTACTTATGATAAGTTATTATGATTAGGATTAAGATAAATTTTGTATTGATTGATGTATATGGTTCCTTGATTAGTGGCACGATTTAAGATATACTTAAATATATATATCTTAAATATATATATATATATATATATATATATCTTAAATCGTGATTAGTGGGAAGGATCTGTAGTGTATGTGGTTGCACTGTGCACCTGTACAAACGGTTTTATTTTATAAAGGTTATGTTACTTATTCATTCATTACACTAGTTAAGTACTTAAGTCATGATACATCGTTAATTGTCACTAACATGTTATATTTATTATTTGTACACATCGCACTCCTAGAACAAGACTGCCACAACTCAAAATTCATGAATTTTGAGTTATGACTACTTTTGGATAGAGAAAAATAAGCTCTTTTAAATGCAAGAACGCCACATTCAATATCATTTTTCATTTAGCCACTATAGAGATGTGTCTGTATTGAATTATTTAAATATTGGTTAATTTTCAATGCAAGAGAGCCATATTTACTTTATGGCAGTATACTTATTTTTATTTATCCAAATTATCACTGAAGTCAAAATTCAAGACTGCCTTATTTCGACTTGTGGCGTTCTTGCACTGAATAAAAACTAATTATCGTGTAATATGTTGAGTGCAAAACAGCAATATTTAGAGTTGTGGCAGTATTGCATTTTATAATTTGTGATAGTGCAGCCACAACACGAATTATGACTCTATTGTATTTATAAATAGAATAGCTTTTCGTTTTGCGCCAAATTCTCATATAGTCGCATCTCAAAATATGGCAGTCTTGCATTTACTTAAAAAATTGTAAATGGCCACAAGTCTAAATTTTTGGGTTTAAGAGTGAATTTCAAAATATTTGAAAAATTAATATTGTAAAGTATGGTTGTAAGTATTTAAGTGTTAAATTTCAAACGCATAAGTAAAAAATTCATTAAAATATCTTAAGTCCAAACTTCAAATTGATTTTTCTCAAAACTATAAATTTTGAGTTGTGACAGTCTTGTTCTAGGAGTGCGACATTAAATACCATTTATTATGAATTATGTGTATACCATCATTATGTGGACCTCGACATTACACAAGTGCTTTTGAAGGGAATATAAGTTTTTTAATTAGTTAAAAATTAATATAAGTTATTGATATTAATAGGATCCAATAGGTGTTTAACATCGTCAACACCCTGTCAACAGGTAAAGTTGCAATAGATTTCAAGAGCCTATGAACAATGGTATTAAATTCAGGGGCGTTCTTGGTGAGGGGGAGGCCACTGAAAAAGTGGTAAAATAGGTTTTCGATTATGATGAATTGTTTAATGTTTAGGCATGCAAGGTTTAGATATTTCAAATATAGGTAAGATTAAAAATATAATATATGAATGGGAATTTGTTAAAAGAGACCCAAGTTACATTTTTGACAAAAATAGTTTTGTTGTATATTATTCATCCTCTTATGTAAACACATATTATATGCTTATAATTTGTAAATCAAAGACTGATTCAATAAAATTAGATACATAAGTTTTTCTTTTTTTTTTAATTTTAATAAAAAAATTAAAATTTTTTAAGATTGTTATTCATTTATTTATATTCAAAGTTTGTTATTTAGTTGCATTGTTATCTATTTAATTAGCTAAAATAAATAAGAAGGTATTAAATTATTTTAAAATGTGACTATTTATATTGAATTATAATACCTTAAATTAATAAAATTATTAGTATTTGTTTAAAGGTACCTATGTCACATTACAAAAATTTGTTATTTATAAAAGTACCTACAAATTATTTTTAAATAACTTTTTTTGCTATTTATTTTTTATACAATACGATTTAATCTAAATTGTGATGATTGATCTTCTTACGCAAATATAAATAAAAGAAAACTGTTTTTTGTTTCTCCTGAAAAGTAATTTAAATTGTACATGGGTCCCTTTTAACAAATTGCCATTCATATAGTGTCTAATGTGTTTTTTCAAATGTCATATGACTAAAAAATGTTTATGAAAGTACCTTGGATTATGGCTAATGCAAGGTCTTTATTTTGATGAAGGGAAAATTTAAACATTTATGTGTAAAGGGATTTTGTAGATTTAAAATATGAAACTTTAATTAATAACAAAATTTAGGATAAATAAAATATATACTATACACACTATAGGTTTGATTAACATAAATATCATAAATAGTATATAATATTATAGGTAATATGGGTAACATAAATATAATATAAAAATAAAAATAATTAATATAGGTCTTTATTTTATAGAATAAAAATTAAAATTAAAACAAAATATAACAACAAACAAAAAACATAATATTATGTAAGTACTTATTTTGAAAATTGAAAACAAATGACCTGCACCATTTATTTATGCCAAAAGGGCAGATACGGCAATTTTTTTGGAAAAGTGGATATTTTGGCATGCCAATGAGTTACCGGGATATCTTTGTTTTGAGCAGTTGTATAGGTGTGTCAGAAATCATTTATAGTGGTTAAAAAAATTATATCCACTAGGTTTCAGTAACCTGGAAGTAAAACTTTCATAATAGAGTGATGATTGATATCACCAAAGCACCACCACATAAAAACTTTATTTTGAGCGGTTGTGGGTGGGTTGCAAATTCATTTTGGGTGGTTACAAATCAAACAAATGATATTACATAATTTTATATATGTTTAGTAAGTGGTAGTTTAGTAACTCTAACTTAACAAAAAAAACAAAATAAATGTTTATAATGCCATGACAAACACTTTAAACATACCTATTATCTATTCATACTGAAAAACTACTGCAATATAAATGCAAATAACTAAAATTGTATAAATAATCCAACTATTACCCAACTACCAATATTGAGTCCAACTTTTATCAGTACCAAATATTTAATTATGGATATTTTTAATACTATGAAAGGTTTTAATTCATTCTAGAGGTTTGTAAAATAAAAAACCCAGATTGCAGACACTATACAGACTACTTTATTGATTTTGTTTGACATATTATGTATATTTAATATTTATATAGAATATTATTCCTAATAATAATAATTAACATAGATATGACACTTTGGCCGTTTTAAATATTTTTTCTACGTCTGAACACTAACAATATTGTCGTAAAAAAAGTTTTAAATTTCATTTAAGTATTTCAAAAGAACATAAGTATAAATTAAATTGTATTTTAATGGTAAAGTTACAAACCAAAAGAGACACCAAAACATTCAAAATATATCTTATAATATAGTAATGAAGCCAATGAGAATATATAAACTCATCAATAATAGTTATCCAATGATTTGACAAAAGGTATATTGACTAATTAGGGTACATAAATATATGTGTATATTTTAATTGGAATTTTTATGGGGAATATTGTATAAGTATCTTAAATTTATTTTAATAGTATGTTATATAATAGTATATAAATGTATGTATGTAAAAAAATTTCCACAATAAGTACGTATAACAAAAATATTAAAGTCAGGAACATAAAAGCACTTACAACTATTTGGTTGCCATTTATTCTTTTTCTTCTAACAATACGAAAAAAAACTTTTCGGTTTTCAAACAGATTATCATAGAATAAACATTTTAATTTTACAATGTTTTTACAATTATTTTTCAGGACATTTTATATCTACTACTGTTTTCGCTTTGGTGTTATTGTTTCTCCCCTCTACCATCTGTATCATAATATGACAACCTGGAAATAATTATTTAACTCAATCTACAAATGTGTGGATATCAAATTAAGTTAAAAACACTATTTTTTTTTTTACATATAATATTTATCAAGACTGCCAAAAGAATGGGGTAAATTATTATCGAGTACTTAGTAGATATAAAATCTCCCAAAAAAAGTTAAATATATATGTTATATGTATATATATATTTGGTTACTTCAAGTAACTATATCGCCTTATTTTTTAAACAAATGATAAATACAAACAATCATTGCACATAATGGTTTCAAATTGACTTACTTTAAGCAGTTAACACTTCTTTTATTACATATATATTCCAATATTAACACAGAGTACTACTAACACAACACTCTCCAAACCTAAACCTTTTTTTTTGTCAGTATTTTGTCATTAGGTGATCAAGAACCAAAGTTTAACATAAATACAAATCAGTATGTAAGAAAAGATATGTGAGCCCCACTTAATAATATTCAAGTAAAAACTGATATAATACTAAGTCTAAAATTATCATTATCATATTATTATTGGCACATAAACATTATCTCCAAATATTGTGTGCATTTAGTTGTACATAAAATAATAAATTATAAATGTGTTATGTGTGTATATAATGGATAAATATGTATGTTATAATTTACATTTTATAAATTATTAAAAACTAACACGTCCTTATTAACTAATTATAATATAAAAATGGTTGTGTCACAAATGCGGAAATAATAATAATATCACCTCGTCATAAAAACAAATACTTACATTGTATATTTAAAGATACTAAAAAAAAATGCAAATAAAGTCAGCCAAATGGTTATTATACCCAGGAATCACCACCTTGGGCAGTTGAGACATCAACAGATGATACTTTTGGTTGGGCCTGTTCATTATAATTCCACATTTCACCCATTGAACACGATGGGTCATATTGTTTATTCTTCTTTTTCTCGCGGTTAACTTGAGCATAAAGTGGTTCACCTGGTCTTAATGGCTAAAAACAAAAATGTACATTTAAAAAAAAATACTTGTAATATTGACAATTCTATTAGATTTTTAGCAAACATCACTATTTTATTAGTATTTATATCTATAGTATTTTGCATAGTTTAATACTACATTTCTACACTTAAGATCTAAATTGAGCAATGAGCATACATCAAATAATGAATTCAAAATAGTAAACCATATTTTTTCACACATTCTAAGACATTTTAAATACAAATATTAATGAATAAATAATTTATTTCTACACTTAATTAACATTCAGTTTCAGTTTTTTTTTTTATTATTATAAAAATATAGGTATTTAGGTTTGCAAGCCAAATAAGTTATCATAGAAAACAAAATATAATTGACAGTATTTCAACTTTTAATTATCATAAAAACTAATTGTATTTTAAAATACAACTCTATACTTGTATGAAATATGTTTCTTTAAAAGTTTGTGTCCAAATAAAATATTATACCTAATTCTATAAAACTTTGAAAATAACTTAAAACACAATCCATGTTAGTATAAAGTCTAAAATAAATATGTTTGAGAATATTATGTACCAGAATATATAATAAGACAGGAGTCCTTATCTCTTAGTCCCCATGCTAACCCATTAAAAATCAGATCAATGGACCTAGTTAAATACTTAAATTGTCAATATTAAAACTTATTTAAATAATAATTTATTTACTTTAATAAGTTTAAACCATAAATTATATCTAGAATGTATCATGAAAATTTAAAATGTATTCACTTAACTATACAGTTTGCTATTATGAGATTTATAATTGACAATTATTATTAAATTATGAATAATTTAACTAAAGATAGAACCACCAATAAAGATTAATAATGGATTTTTTCATGTTATGCATGCTTTTAAAGTTCAATAACAATAGCAGAATATGACTGTAGTTAACAGTATTATATTGTATTATAAAGATAAGTTGATAAATATATTTATAAATTATTAAATACAATTAGATCTTGAGTTTTTGATTTTATTTGATAAATTTCATTACAAATGTTGGTGTATATCTAAATCCTTGTTCTATCACTTCTATGAATTAGTGCAGTCAAATATGCATAGTATAAATAATAATATGTGCAGAAATTACGTGAGTAAAATAAATAAATAATCTGGCTATATAAACTACTAGTTATGTAACTTTTAACTTTGAATACTACATACAAAAGATGAAAACAATACCGATGAATTACCAACACTCAATCTACTCACATGTCCAGGAGGATATATTAATACTCCACCAGCTGGAGGGGTATGATTAGACACTTCGGGGTATGGCATATCAGCTAATGGAATATCTTCATTCTGAAAATATCAAGTACATGAATAAAATAAAGAACTAACCGAAATAATAAGACTTTTTTTAATTCAAATATTCTGAAATCTGTTTATTTAATAATATAACTAACATGTTAGTGTGTACATACTATGGTAAATTGTAAATGAGAAAAGAATATATTATTTATATATTTAAAGGTGAATATTGTAAATGTTATATGAAATGAGAATTTTAATATGTTTTGGTCATTAACTTAACTACCCAAATAAAATGGTAAAAGCATGCTACATATGCATTTGTTGTCTCTGTCTAACACACATAAATTTACATTCTGCATATTATCCAATACTGTTATTAATAAAATTAACCAATTATTAAACATATTATAAAGGTTTCTTCAATATTTGTATATTTAAGTTAGTAATTTTTTTTAAATAATGTATTTTATCTGCTTATGTCTCGCTTTAAAGTTAAAAAAAACTGTTAAGAGAGCATTGAAAATGATATTTTATGGTTTCAAAATGTAAATTTACTCTATGTTAAGAATAACAATGCAGTACTAAAAATGTACCAGACTCGTAAAAAAAAAAAAAAAACTAAAAATGTAGAACAAAATAATTATTATGTTATGTAAAAGAAAACAAACAACAAATGCATGGGTAGTGTCCTTTAGAGTACGACCTAATAAGTAGTTGAAACAATGGTAATGAAATAAAACTGCATAACATTATTAATAGTATAAAAATTAACATGAAATTTTTTTTTATTATTATTAGATTTTGTAAAAACAATTTGTCTCGACAATTAATAAATTTATAAAATTAAAATAAATAATACTTATTTAAATTACAGCAAAATAACATATTTTTTACAATTAGTTGTCATACATTTTTAGTTACTAACATTAAAATCTTAGCATAGAAGTTGTGAAATGAGATTTACAATTTTCACTGGATAATATCATTAAATTCCATTCATTATTAATTATCATTTAAAGTTATCTACATAATATATAATGGTAAATGAAATAGATTTAATACACACCAATTATCTAAAATCATCATAACATTGGTGTACAAATAAGATCATCATCAAAAACCATTGTATATTAAATGTAGTTTTAATTTAAAATTCTTTATTATTAAAATAAAAAAAAAACTATTGATAAAATCACCTTCGTCCAGCAATTTTAAAATATACAATACTTTTATTTTAAAAGAGTAAAATTTAAAATTTAATTAAAAAACATAGTATTCTAATTTAAAAAAATATTAGGGTCATCCACAATTTCTGTTACAAAATTGACAAGGTTGTAGAGAGTGCTAAATCCTCACCAGTCTTGTATCAACAATTTGGATGACTCTGTATATTTACAATATTTTTCATCTTTTAACTTACAGCCTGATAAGTAGAATTTGTGTTAGAGTTTGATAGTGAATGATTCATCTGTGAAACGTTTGGATTTTGCCTTTGTATCGTTCGATCTTCATACCGAGTCCCACCTTGACTTGCCATAGGGCGATTAAGAGTACTATTTGCATTATTTGGTGAGTTCACTCCACCCGCTGCATTTCTAGCTGCAATAGTTTTTGTAACAAAGTCTTGTTCTCTCCAACCGTGCTTTTTGTATGCATCTCTCAACTCTTGATGCTGCCACATAGCAAACAAAACTTGGCTGGCAAATTTCAAAACTCTAGATGTATATTTTTGGCGCTGTCTGATTATATTCATTAATCTTTCCACTCCACTTGAGTCCAGTAATGACCTACACAAATATACGTTAATATAAATATTTAATTTTAAAATAAATTCAGTATATTTTATAAATGATTCATAACACAAATATATCAATACTGTACAAAACCTTACAAATGGGATTATCGAACACAAGTCATAATATTAAATTCTTCTACACTACTATAAATACCTAGCAAATTCAGCATTTTTCTTAATGACTTCGTTCAGTGTAGCCAACACTGCTGCTATAGTATCATCTGAAGTTCCTTGATCGTGTTGAGCATTCCCTGACGGTAACTTTTGCACTAAGTCCCTCATTGCATACTTACCTAAATAAAAAATGTCAACATATTTACTAATAAAATATAATATCTTAAAACAATTAAAACAAACCAATAAGTTCTTTATTTCTTTGATCAATAGCCAAATTCCTTAAAGCTGTGGCAACAGCACATACTACACGATCAACTTCCATTCGTAAGAGCTCTACAAGAATAGGGAGACCTTTTTCTTTCCGAACAGCAGCTCTAATTTCAATACTAGGTTGCCAATAACAAGCAGCTAAATTTTGGATTGCACCTGCAGCAGCTTCAAGAGTTTCTGGATTTGAACAACTCTGTAGCAGCGCTAGGTATGATTGAACCACCTAAAATAAATGTTGAGAATGATTAGATTTTAAACAAAGTAACAATGCAAATTCATACTTCTGGTTGCCACAAAAGTTCCATTCCTTTAGCCGGTTCTGATCTAGGAATTATACGACTGCTAGTGTTTTCTTTGGGTGAAACCACTTGGATATCTTTTTTCTTTTTACTAGCTCCGAAACAACCTAAGTTTTCTGCTGAAACAGAAAATGAAACATAAATATAATGTATTAAATATTTAATGAACATTTATTTGTTTTAACTAACCTTTTGGCTGAGGACCAACTCTACTTTGAGTTGGTAAAGGGTGTTTATCATAATTTGGATCTTCAACTTCTTGACACCTATATGATAAGTTTCTTAATATGCATACACAATTTTCAACACTCTTATTTCCAATATTTGACTTTTCAATAGCAGTTGAAATTACATAAAGAAGTGAATCAATTAAATGTTCACATTCACGCAACTTTTTTCGTGCATATTCACCAGCTGAACTTATATTCCTAAATTATAAAAATTGATATTTAATACAATTTAAACTATTGCAATTAAACATTTGGAATCATTATATACCTCAATACTCCAGAAGTATTTCTAAATACAGTAGACCAACAAATATCACTACAAGCAGTAGGACTCCACCCTGAATGAGGTAGTAAAATATGATTCACAATAGTAGAAAGACCATCATCAATAATTGATTTTTTCAAATCCTTTTAAAATAAACAAATATAAAATAAGTTTGAAAACCTAAATAATTTTTATAGTAAATACTTCGCATGATGATAAGTTCCATAAAACCCCTGTAACGAGTTCTTTAACTTCTGCATCAGCTGATTTATGCAGTAAATTGATTAATAATGGTATTCCACCAGCATCTTTAATGGCTCGTTTATTTTCATCATTTTGTCTTCCATATGATAAATTTCTAGAAAAAAAGAAAATTGTACTGAAGTTCTATATAAACAAAATATATGATTAAATATATACCTAAGGGCTCCACATGCATTTCTGTAAACATCTGGACAATCATGGTTTAAGAGCTTTGCCAAAGCCTGTATTCCACCTAATGTTCTAGTTTTTTGTTTATTTGGATCATCCATATAACATAAATGTTGTAAATAAGCAGCAGCATTTGCTTTAATTAAATTATTTGGGTTAGCCAGGAATGTTATAACTTCGGGCAAATTAGGATCCCTCCATCTAAGACCTATAATAAAAATAAAAAATTTAAAAAATCCGTTATAATAGAAACACAACAAAAACGTGCCTTGTGCCATTTGATCTCCACATTCATCCATATTCCATGATCCACTCATTTGATCTAAATAAATAAAAGTTTTAAGTATTATTTTTGTTTGAAACATACATAATATTATGAAAGTACATAAAATAAGAAATTAATACTAACCATAACAATCACCAGGTGACGGTGTAATTCGGTGATAATGGTCATGGTTTGGATGCAATTGAGTTGCATCAAGTTCTTCATAACCAGAAGGTGGATATGGTAATCCTTTTCTCATGTATTCTAAAAATAAGTTAATTTCAAAAGATTAATTCATTATGTTACATTAACTTGTTCTAAATATTGATTTTTTTTAAATATGCATACATAAAATTGTAATTACCTTGAGCCATGAGCTGTTGTGGTGGAGGAGATTCACTGCAAGCACTAGGGCTTGGTGGTGTGGGTATCGTTTCATTATATTCATGCCCCAGTTGGTTAGGGGATGATCCTGTGTCGTATACATGGTATGCATTTCCATCTATTTTAGCACCTTGCTGGCCAGGTATATTGTTGGAACTGTAATACGAAAGTCCAGGATGTACGCCAACATAATGGTCATAATCCTGACAACCTGGATTATAATTTTGGTAGTCATTATTATAATGTCCTAAACAAAACAAAATGAATATACATAGATAAATAAATATTTATTAATTGTATTAATCTACAGAACTTTATAACTATTTAAATTGTAAACAAGCATCAAATATTTAACAATGATGTATTTTTAGTTATGTACGTGACCAGGTTTGAAGAACTCAAGGAAATTTCAGATCTATAGACACAATAATGGAACACAGGTATTACTATGTAATGGCTTAGTGATCGCTTCTAAAATTAACAATAAAAATAAAATCTTTACAAGATTTGAAGATAATTAATTTTAACTACTATTGATTAGTTTATGATTAAAGTTTTATTATTTCAATGTATTTTATGATATTTTTATTGTTAATAATTCAAAAATCTTACCATAGTTTTACTATAATCTATACTAAAAAATCCCAAAAGTATTTTATTATATTTCTTGAGATTATTTAAGTTAGAAACATACAATCAACTTGAAAACGTGTTAACTTAAACTACTCAAAATAATTTTTATTTATTGGAGTAAATTAGTTCACTGTTTTTCACCTTAATATAATTTAAAGAATAAAATGTGTACAAACCAGATTCTGACATATGAACGGGATTATTTGGTTGAGTTGATGAAGTTGACGAAGATGATACTCCTAATGTGTACGGGATGTAATCTAATGAATGACCATTAGGAATCATATGATGAACTTCTCGAACAACTTTTGTTACAGTTGTGACCTAAAATAAAAATAATATTTTAAAATTGAACATTCAAATTCAAATTCATTTTAGATACAAGTTTTATTCAATCAAAAATATAAAATAATATTTACTTGTTGTGTTGTTTGATGTTTCTTTGTTTGGGAAACTAATACAGGTTTTTCACTACATTGAGCAGATGAACTAGATGAATGACTTTCTTGAAGGCCGTTGTTTGAATACGCGATATCATTTGGGTAAGAATTATTTTGAGAGAGGTCTGACTGAGCTCTAAAAAAATAATTGGAAAAATGTAGGTATCTGTGTTTTGAAATTGCCTATTAAATTTTAATAATATAATAAAATTCATAGCTGAGGATTTTATACAAATAATAGGTTTTATTTTTCTAGCTACGTGGAAGGAAATTTGATCAGTTTGTTTCAAATTACTAGTACATAATAAACTGTATATTTTCTTCAAATATTTTTGTTTAATTTTGTACAGGAAGGCTGTACTCACATTGTTTCCCCCTATGTTGTAATACAAACAAAAAAATTAACTTTGTAAATCTGAAAATTCTGATTAGATTTCAAAGGTTTATTTTTGGCAATTGCAGCCAGTTATATTTTTTTTATTATATGTTTGTAAGGCAAAATATTTTTACGTGATTCTTTTCAATAGCACTTATTAGTTTCAATTAATAAAATTACTGATTTAATTGTTATTAGAGAGATATTACACGGATGAATCAACAATCTTAAAATAATTAAGTTTAAAAAACAATAATAGCCAACAATTCAACTGACACATTGATTTATTAAAATATATTATTATTTACCATTATTTTTTAATTTTAATTTTAAAAATTGTGTACTGGACAGAGGACGTTTTTAAAATACATTTTGGCCATATTTAATGTAAACGTGCATGCTTATAAGTCCAACAATTTTTAAGTACGTTCAACACATAGATATTATAATAGTATTATAATACATATACTCTGTTCAGCGAGTCTGCACCACGCACCGACTAAAACTGGTTCCCCAAGCAATACCCTGCCATTGGGGAACCGTTTTCAATGGCAAGAGGACGCGGAGGGATCCTTGGAATCGGCGTTCTCTCTTACTGAACAGAGTATAGATTTAATAAAGAAATTTAACTAACTAAAGTCTACAAATATTGCAGTAATTAATAAAAACAATCAACTTATAATATAAATGAGAATTAACTCAAATTACAATTTATTAATATGAAATATGGGAATAAAAATTGAAAAAAAATCACATAGCTCCACTTAAAAATCAGAAAGGTAATAAAATAACATTTTTTACTTTTTAAGGGCTAAAATATAAATTGTACCACATTTATTTACATATTAATATATTGAATTATGTGTTAACCCATACATTTTTAAATAATTCTACATTGCATATAAAATGTATTACCTTGTTTCAAAACTTAATAGCAAATAAGAGTACTTAATATCAAATTCAGGCTAAATAATAATAGTCAATGACTGAGTCCACTATTTGATTTCCTAAATAGTTTATTTAATAGTATATTAAGCTCGTAAAAATAGTTTTTGATTTAAGTAGTGTAACTAATTAATTCACAAAATAAAATACATTTTTACTAAAGAAACATAAACCAATTTAAAAACAATATCTTTGAAATTCATAAAAGGACAACCACAAGTGTTGTCTCTATCTTGCAAATGTACAACATAGTAAATTTTAATTTAGTAGAACTTATTTTGTTTGCTATAATATTAAAGTAAATTAATCTAATACCAAATTTTATGGTCAGATTATTATCTATGTGTGTAAGTTGGCTTTTATTGATATTTGAATTTTTAAGCAAGTTATGAGTATTCAAATAGTATTTTACATACTATCTTTAAGATTTAGTAAAAAAATAAAAAAACATACAGATACAAATAATACTCTCAATGTGTATGAGTACATTTTCTCTAATATTAAAGCTTACAGCACAATTTGTTATATATTATGTTTTATTTTTAAATATATTATTCAATGGAGCACTTCTTTTAATTTGGAACATGGCTGAAAATGTTTAATATTGTGATTATTTGGTCAAATTTAAGCCATTATATAATAAATACAGAAATACAAAAATTCAATTCAATAGGCACATGCATAATTTTACAAAAGGATTTTTGAAAAATAACGTTTTTACAAAATAACCACACAGATAAAAGAAGAGATTTGTATGTAGAAAAAACAGTATTAGTGAAAATAAATGTAAAGAAAGATATACATTTTCAAATTTTTAAATGAGGGGCAGATGATTTCAAAAAAAATTATCCAATGACATAATATTTGGTGGAAATAAACAAAGTGCACAAAATATGTTAAAAAGATGTAAGTAGGTCAATTTAAAAAGTTTTAAATTATATTTAGTTTCATCATTAAATATTTTAAGACTTACTATAAAAAAATTGAATTAATTAATTGTTGTACATCTATGTAAATGATAATTAAAATTCCTATTTCTTTAAATTGTTTCCAAAAATATTACGATATTAAACAATAACGAGTTTATTGTCATATCCATAAATTATTTCATAGTAATTTTATCGAGTGAAAACATATTTTTTTTCTCTCGAAATTGTAGACATATTTTCTATGCAACAATATATGACGGAAGTATAGACTAATATAATATCTATAAATAGGTACAAAAAAAAATTATATTTTAAGATGGCCATTTTATGAAGACATCGCAACACAGTGTATACTATAGTATAGTTATTAATTAGTAAGTAATTACAATTTGGTATTAAGTTATAAATAAAGGGTTAATATTATACATCACATAAATATCTATAAAAAGATTTTTCAATGCATTCTATAAAATAACCCATTCATAATTTCGAGCATAATTCAATAATAAAGAAATTTCATCGCCGAGGCCTTGTTAATAAAAATATAACGACTTCAACACTAGCGCAAGGACGAGTGTTGGGGAGATAGAGAAGTTGACATTACAATTGCGTATAATATATTATTTGTAAATTGGTAATAAACTAATAACTAATAAACAAAGTAATAAATTAATAAACGCCTAATATTGTTAGAAAATAAAGTATGGCAAATTTATTAACAACTTAATTATTTTAGTTTATTTATTGTATAAATTCTTGTAAATTTCAATATTTAATTGTATTTACGATACCTACTGAGGAAGATGTGTTAAAAAGATTGCCAGGGGAGAGTTTTTAACCACCGCGAGGTTAGTCAAGATAGGCAATATCTCAAGTATGTGTGTGCGTGAATTGCTAGCGTGTACGTAGTAAACGATCATTAGTGAGTGACTCACCCGTATGTACCACTCCCACGCATGTGAACGATAAGGATACTGGAAATAATTAGAATTCCTCATTATGTTTACTTGAGAACGGCGACATTTCCACTTTTATTTATTGTTTTATTTTTAATTAGTGTAATTCATGATAGAATATTCATGAATTTTTACGTTCCTTAAATAATATGTAGTTAATATTGTAATATTGAAATTAGTAAAAAGTTGGAGTCGTTTAAAATTAGATATGTGAGAAATTCTAATATATTTTCATAGACCTAACTGCGCCCGTAGATAAATACGTTTCAGCGGAAATAGATCTATTTAAAAACAGTCCGTTTGTAATCGAAAGTTGGATTAGGAAGGCAAAACCCCATAGGCCGGAAATACCAATTGGTAGTTGCCAGTTGGTATGTCATAATATTATGTAATATAATTCGTAAATAATCATAATATTCTATTGTCCATTCGGGAATTATAACTATTAAGACTTTAAATTGCCAATTAACACTTAGTTCAAAATGTAACACTACAGAAAAAATATTTTTCAATAAACGAAATAAATGTATGATATTCATAATGTTGCGCTGTTTTACGTGCGAATTTTGATATTTGTGGATTTAAAGAGCATTTTGACAATTTGTACTGCGTTAACCAATTATTATGGGCATATTTTAATTTTAACATAGCATACTGTCTTGTAAATATTTACCGACAAATAAGTACAGCCGTTTCATATCATACATCCATGATTCATACGTTAGAGCATAGGTTCTCAAACTTATTTCATCCACCGCCCACTTTGAGAATCAAAAATTTTCTAGCGCCCCCCCCCCAAAAAAAAAAAAATTTAACTTAGCATCTGTTATGTCTTTTAAAAATAGATATTACAATTTATAATATATAAATATGCTATATCTAATTTCTGAGTTCTAACATAAATTTTAAATTAGCTTTTTGGATGACAGCAATTAAAACGCATACTTTTTCATACTTAAAGTATTTTTATTAACACGAAACATTTATAATTAAAATTATTCACATTAAAATTATTTTTATTAAAATCATGCTAAAAAAGTTATGAATTCAAAATATAAAATTTACTTAATGTGATGGATGAACTTGATGTGCATTAACGAGTTTGTTAATATCTGGCTCAAATTTACTTAAAAACAGCCGTAAATCACCGCGTTCGGTAACAAGCAACCGATTTCTCTTTTTTATTAGCAGTGTTGCTACAGCACTGAATCCACGTTCAGACAAATACGATGATGGGAATGCTATCAGAAATAGCAATAGAAAATAGATACAATAGAAATAGTATTTTTTTTTTGATAAATATAGATTTACTATATTACATTTTGTATTAATATATGTATAAATATATAAATGAGACTTTTTTTAATATAATATAACTATAATATTTATGTATATAATTTCTTATATCGCCCCCTAAACCTAACTCAACGCCCCCAAAATTCCTTCGGGCATCCTACCGCCCCCCTGAAGACCACCAACGCCCACTAGGGGGCGCTATCGCCCACTTTGAGAATGACTGCGTTAGAGAGTTGCAATAGCTTTAGTGCTTAATGGTATTGATAATTATTAATTATGTATGGGCAAATAAAATATAAATTGACCTTATCGTACGATTTAGTACAATAAGGTATTTAGTCAACTTTTATTATTGTTGAAATAATACTTTTAAGAAAAGAAATATAACCGATCTCTGACGATATTATTTCAATCGTGGTCCAACACACTTTTTCTATAACAAACATTTTAAATATTATAGAACGAATAAATAAAGTAGAAATATAGAATTCTTCAATAAAATTCTTCATAAATATACATTTTTCAGTACATATAACTTCTCAAGAAGATTTAATTCCGGCCGTGTTTACTATAGTTACTACCAAAATGTGGAATGGAATATTATGATATTATGTACCGAGTATATACTATCGTGGTAAACAAATAAAACTTCTGAAAGCATGTTTTAAATTTGTTGCGCAAAAACGACTTTTTTTAATTTAAACTCATAAACCCGTTGAATATTAAGAATTTAAAAATATTAATAATGTTAAAACTAAAAAATTAATATTAAAAATTGTAAAAATTCCGTTTTCAAGATAACTTTACGAGGAATTTAAATTCGGTTTCATACATTTCATCGGATACTTAAGTTTGTCAATAGTATTTTAAAATAATTGGCACCTAGACAAAAAAAAAAAACCAAAAATAATGATATTATATAACGTGCGATGTCACGTTGTTGACATGTGTATGCACGTGCGAAAGTGTCCCGCTATATTGTCACTAACACTAATAATCAGTTACAACGGCAATACTCACACATTCCCAAAACACGCCCACACTTAAAAAATTGCCTATATTGAATTATTCAAAAAGATCGGTATCGAAATATAATCGGTGTCGGTAATCGGCACATGTCTAGAATGCTCAAGAACTTTTTTAGTGTATGTAGTCAGTAACCTCAACAGTGATGAGTGAGCCTTAACGTCTGTGGTAGTGTATATTATAATAAAAAAAAAATATATAAAAAATTAAGTAATATCAATGATTATAGTTATAAATTATACTATAGATTGCTACTAGTATTTATATTTTAATATCAATGGTACCTAATACAATATTATATATATACTATTTGGAATTAACAAAATTATTATAATCCACGTTGAATACATAACTAGGTAAATTAAAATAAATTAAAATATAATTTGTTGTATTCAACAACAATATAATTGATAATAACTAATCATATTTTAAATATAAAATGTATTCAAATAATTGTTTTAATTTTAATCTGTTTGATTACCGCAGGTTGCTTTAATCAGTATGCTCTATGAATATTCATCTTTGAGATTCTATTATTGACTATTTACCCAATATTCACAAACTACCAACAAAATATTTCATTAAAAACAGTAACCTACATTTTTTTATATAATATCTACTTAGAGCAAATATTTGTTATTAGCATAATACTCTGTTGTAAACCGATTAAAAAAATTAATACATTTTTTCATAGTACCTACAATTATAATATATTATCATGGTTATTCTTTAATAACTTGATTTAAAAAAAGCAAGCTAGTGCATAAAAAATAACAGTCTCAAAGCAAGTATTAATAAATGTAAAAAAATACAATAGGATATTATATTATTAGATAGGTGACTCTTTAGTAAAACATCATGCACATTTTATTTTTATAATTCATATAACTTTAAACAATATATAATTATGCGAGTTATGTTTCATAAGTTATTAACAATACTGAATACTGAATTTATTATCTACCGTGTATTTTAATAAGGCAAGAAAAACTAATAATAATACACAGTGATGCCAATATAAAGACTAAATAAAAAAAAAACAATCACATGACATGTCTAAACAAAGCATGTATAGAAGCCAAAAAGGTAATAATAAAAAATTGACATGAAATTATGGCAATTTTTTTATAAGAAATAAAATATACCTCTGTGTAATCTCAGTGCAAGTGAAGCTTTGCTCTTGAAGCTTCTCCACCCTTCTGTTCACCAACCTGTCACCCAAGCAAATTTGAAACAAATGTGTTTATTATATTTACACAAGCCAATTCAACATTATTGCATTTATCTAACCCTGACCAGCAAGATAACGCGGTGCAGCCCCACAAAAATTTGTTATATTGTGCGTCACCCAGCCCACGAAGACTGGTTCTACAAAGGCAGGGTGTCGCAAAGGGTTGAATCAGTGCGTTCTTTCACTGATCAGAGTATATAAATAGTTAATATTCCCAAAAAATATTAATTATTATATTAGATAAAACTCAATTATATTTGATAAAAGCTAATTGTTATGGTTAATATAAACATTATAAAGTATTCATAAAAATATGATTTTCTACACTTCTACATTTTCAAACACAATAAGTAGTTAATATTTTAAGTTTATATTTGAAGTATACCTACATGAACCATGAAATAAAACTTACATTACATTTCCTTAATGTCTTATTAATGATAAATCATTTAAATAATATATAGTATTTTTAAACAGTATAACTAGGTGACAACCAGAGTAATAATATTATATTATACATTGAATAATATTATATAATACATTAAATAATATTATATAATATAATGACGTAGGTATATGCTATATAATAAAGCAAATATCATTGTAAAATAAAACTATAAGCAAGTTATTAATAATTAATGTTAATGATTTATAAAAATTAGTTAATAATAAGCTCCTTTTAGTTATTTAACAAGAAATATGTTATACATTTTTAAGCAACATTATAGGACCTATTATAGTTATTTAAAATAAAATATGATGACTAAAAGAAAGACCATCTCCATTAAAATATACTTACAAACATGAGTCGACCAGCTGATTACTCATTGATAATTTGACACTTAAAACGCCTGAAATCACATTAAAAAAGAACCTTAGTTATTAAAAATATGATATATAATTGATAATATCTTTAATAGGTATATATATATATATATTATACATTATTATTATTATTATTAAAGATTTAAGAATCTTAACCAAAGATCAAGTAATATTTTAGATTTATACAATTAAGTTAACATTTTAATAATATTAATTCATTATAAGAGTTTTTTAAAAAATATAAACCCATTGTTTATACTATAGAATTCCACAACTACAATGTAGATATAATACTAAATATAATATTACCTACACATAATTGTATACATACTTTAGATAGGTAGGTAATAGGTACAATTGATTTAGGTACCTACTTATTAACATTTCATTTTCAATAAATTTTAGAATTTTACTAATGTAGGTGTTATAGAGTTATACTAAACAATTGGTGACCACATTAAACTGAAGAACTATTTTTTTTTTTTTTTTTTTAATGACTCAGCAGTCCTTATTTATTAGTCCACATGGCACATTCTTTACCATAATTTCCGAGATAAAATTGTTTATGCAGGCATGGGTAATGAACTATTAATAAAAAGATTGTTTTGTTCACAAGAATTTAAGATAGATCACGAAGAGTACCAAAATAATCAAAAACACCTAGGTATCTAACCAAAATATACACGAAAAGAATAAAAGTAAGATAGTTAATAAATAAATGTCAAAGAAGATTTAGATTACCCTTTATATATTCAACAAAATATATTTGGTTATTAAAAAATTGAATCAAAAATACATTGATCACATTTGGGGTGATGTAGGTAATTGGGTGCAAATATAAATAGCATTTAAGTATGCAAATAGATGAATAATAAATAATTAATAATAATGAAAGTAAATACTGACATTTTAAATTATAATAGATGCCTATTCACCTAGGTATATTATATAAGATAATAAAATAAAACATTTAAAATTGTTGCACCAATTTTTCTGAGTATTTTTCTAAATATTATTTGCCTGATTTTTACCATAAAATCATGAAAGGAAGTAGGTAGATTCAGACAAAATTCTGAAGAATTTACAAATGTCAAATAGCAAACATTAGATTTGGTTGTAAATCAACAGAACAAAATAGATATCCATGTTTGTTGAAGTTGATAATTATTAAATTAATATTACATATTTATATTCTAAGAGCATAGTCCCACCAAGTATTATTTTTGTACAGATATTACAATTCTTATATTTAAATATTTATATTTTATGCATTGGTACCAATCTAATTTACAGTAGTTAAAATCGAGGTTTAAATCACGTACAGATTATTATGTGTGGTTGTGCATATCTTTATAAAAACTGTTGATGAGTACATACACTACCGGTCCACAATAGAAATCTATAGGCAAGTAGATACTCAAACGCAGAGCGATAAGCATTCATTGGTGAAAACAGGGATTAGCCCCATTAAATTATTTATATTTGTGTAACTATATTAATTTCTTTGTTCTCAGTCCCAGTCTAAAATTTGGTTAGTACACTTAATCTCTTACAAGAAAACATTTTGAAAATTCTATAAAATCATTTAGGTACCTATATGAACACTATAAATACAACGCTAACATATCCAAAAAAAACCTTTAAAATGTAAATTTAATTTTACTTAAATTTGTGTAAGTATTTAATTACAATGTACCTACCTACTTTTTGATTATAATTCTTAGAAAACAAAAACTTAGATGGGCTCTGGACACATAACAAATAATGACATATCCAACACAAATTTCAGTTGTAAGATAGATAGTTAACATAATCCAAATATAAACAATATATTATTTTTTGACCTTCAAAATGTTTTATCTAGTTCTTAAGATCTTAAGTTGGGGTACCTAACTTTGTTTACCAGTTTAAGTAGCATAAATATCCACTCAACAATAGTTTTTAATTACAATTTTTATGAATTTTTTACATATTTTCAAAGATCAAGTCAGCATTACAACTAGCAGAGGGCCCGGTTGTAATAGCGAACACGGCAATCTGGCTGGATTGCCCTTGCAATAAATATTTCCTATGGCTTTAGGTCTAATAGAACTTATAAAAACTATTTAAAATAGGTAAGTACTCAATAATGGAAGGTAATCAATGAAAAATGGAATTAAATTTGAAATTTACAAAAACAAACAGATAGGTGGTACTGTGGGAAAAATGAAACCTAGCTGATCTGAGGTATCTAGATCAAGTTCATAGATTGGTGATAAAACAAACTAGGGACATAAACAAGAAACCCAGATTATAAATATCTTTGGAGAGAACCACTTGGCACTTGGACTAAGGAAGATATCAAGATCCATTATCATGTCAACTCTGAACGAAAAACTAATGTCTAGACACAAGTAAAGTATTTGAACCAGGACGAGTTAGATGTAAAATGAACACAGATAAGAAAGTTCAGTCGCGGGAGTGCAAGCTCAGCGCAATGAGAATATTGTGGACAGGCCACAGCAACCGACGAAGCGCAGGACAATAGGACAGGATGCTGAAACAATGGACAGCCGAACTGATTAATACGACGGGAATATCATGAGCCATTGCACACACGACGCCCACTGTTGGCGACGGGCTACGCCTAAAAAGCGAACAGATCAGCGTCGGGAAAACGGGTCGAAGGTGGACAAAAGCGTACCTTGTACCTTGTAGCAACAGTAGTGAAGTTCGACGTTTTCAACGGGAACGGATCATCGTTTTCGACGGGCGACGGGCGCGCATCAGTACGATGGTGCGGATGGGGGATGGCGACACATCGGAAGTCGACGGAGTTTCCGGGAGTGTGTCAGCAGAGGCGGCGGCGGCGGCGGCGGTGGCTGCGACGTCTGTTGAGGCGGTGTCGGCGCGAAGCTTCTTCCCCGTAACCGTTAGCTTACACTACTACGACGGCAGCGACGGCGGCGACGACGGCGACGGCAAAAGCGACGACGGCGGCGGCGGCGACGGACGGTCGACGACGGGTCATACGCATCGCGGTCGCGCTATCGGCCGATGTGGGGGCGCCCGATAACCGGGTGACGAACGATGCGACACGTTAGGGGTTCAGAGAGGAGAGAAGAAAAAAAAAGTCATGTACAATTACGCGTTATGCGTGTGCGATTAAAAACAATATCGTATTATCATAGGAAAAGCGGTCGCCTCGGTTTATACGTCATCAGTCATCGTCGCTACGTGTGCGCCGTCGCATGCGCGTGCGCAAGTGTTTCCGCTCATGGGTGGATGTGTGTGTGTGTGTGTGAACGGAGAGCAGTGAGGGGAAGAGCGTGAGTGAGTGTGTGAGAGAGAGCAGCCCGGCGAGAGCGAGTAAGGAACAACAACAAAACGGGGTTATCACCGGAAAGAGGTCAGAGGTGTATTATAATATTATTGTCACCGTCCAGCGTGATACTTTTTCTTATTACAACTTACGGCGCCGAAAGTGGCGTACGAAAATAATATAAACTCTAAAGCGGCCGCGACGGACACGGTTCTCGGGATTGTACTGCTTTTATTTTTTGCTTTCCATAATACCGAATCGTTTTTGGCGATAACAGTCTCAGCCAGCGACTGTGGACGTAAACAACAAATCGTAAATAACAAAATCGTCGGCGCGCCGCCGCACAGTTCCCACAAAGTGCGCAAGCGCTCACGCCCAGCAGCGGCGCACACGCACACGGTCTCTCAAAGGGGCGGTGGCGGTACGGAGTTATTTTCGAGGCGCCCAGCAAGTCATGTGTAAATAAAGCATGGGGTTGCGAGGTCGCCGCCCGCCCGTCGACCTCTTTGGCGGCGCAACGCACATTAACGGTATCTATACGTGATTCGTAATAAAATATAATAATTTATTATTATTTTAATACAATAGATCAACCCATATTATTATATAGGATATTAGGATGTCGACTGACATACCCAATATGCGCCTGTGCCCTGTGTCGCAACTTAGTACCTGGAATGGCTTAGGCGGAAATTGGTCACAATTATTGTGGAAGTGGCGAAGGGTCACATTTTAAATTAACTAAATATGATAGAAAAATTGTAACGATTTCATAACTGTTACAAAATACATAATTTATTATGGTTAATAAAAAATATTACATGACCCATGTGGCCATGTCCATGGCCAGCCTAATGCGGTAGCAAAATAAGCAGCTGCCTAGTGTGGTATGTGTTTATGTGCCAATTTTGAATGAACCCCTTCCCAGTGTTGGGTAGTAACGTAACGCAATTACTTTTTCATTAACACAGCAGTAATTTCATTACATTTTACTTAAAGTAACGCAATTGTAACAAAATTACTTTTGAAAAGTAATTTCTATGAAGTAACGCACAACGCGTTATTTTCCACGTTATTAAAATAATAGTTTTGAATGTACCTATTACAAAAACAAGCCGAAAGGATATCCCAGAAAAATTAAAAATCAATTATATTTATTTTTGATTCCGATAATAGTTAACAATATTACTTAACATTCCAGGAATAAATGTTATCAATTTATTAGCAGAAAGAAAAGAGTTAGTTTAAAAATAACATTTAATAAAAATTAATCATGATTTATGATTTAACTATATATAGTTATATAGGTGAGACGATTGTACATTTGTGATTTGTACATAATACTATAATAGGTCTAGTGATAATAGATCACTAGGTCTATGATTGTAATATATATACATAATAATTGAATCATATGAATTGAATGTGGTTAAAAAAAATGATGAAAAAAGTAACGTTATTTGTACGCACTACTTTATAAATGAAAAAGTAGTGTAGGTAACGTGATAAAAATAATTTTAGATAACGCAAATGTAATTTAAATAAAAATATTTGAAATAACGAGTAACTTAATTTCATTACTTTTTAAAAGTCATGTACCCAACACTGCAGCTCTTCCACACCAAAAATTAACTTATGAACAAGCGTATATTTTACAAGGCGGCAAAAATTCTAAAGCCCTCCCTTCAATATTTGTATTGTA